GTGTTTTATTTAAGTAGGAAGCTGACTCCCGCTGAGAAAAATTATTCTATAGTGGAAAGGAATGCCTTGCCATAAAATGGGCCTTAGACTCATTGAAATATTATCTGCTGGGTAGAAAATTTAGGTTGGTCACAGACCATGCCCCCTTAACCTGGATGAGTCAAAACAAAGATAATAATGCCAGGGTGACAAGGTGGTTCCTCAGCTTACAACCATTTCATTTTACGGTTGAACATAGGCCAGGGTCTAAACATGGAAATGCTGACAGTTTGTTTTGTTTTCTGTGGTCGCTCACCCCACTAGGTCTGAGCTGGGGGGGAGGATATGTAACAGAGTGTTGGGGATGGTGGTCAGGGGTGTATATCTGGCACCCAGACTTTTGCACAGCCACTATCCTGACATGTGGGTAAGCACATGCAGCCCCAGGGAAAGTTAAGTTTAAATGTAGTTTTTTTTCCTCTGTTGTTATTTGGGTCCCTGGGGTGGAGTATTCGGAAGAGCAGGGTGGGCCGATTCTCCACCCACTGTCAGAGTGGTTGTGCATGAGTCCAGCCCAGGTTTCCCATAGAGCTCTGGCTCACTGCCTAACGAGGTCATTAGCCTCACCTGTAGGGGCTGTGAGCAGCTATATAACTGCAGTTAAAGCAGGGTGAAGTGAGGGAAGTGTTTTGGAGGAGAAAGAAAGTGTTTTGTGGAGAAAGAAGATTTGCTGTTCATTGTATCCTGTTACTTCACAACAACAGAAAATAAACAGGCCAGAGGCCCTTTTGAAACTGGACTTTGTCTTGACCTGGTTTTCTTACCCTAGAGGGCTGTGCGGTTGCCAAAAGATCCTGGACAAACACACACAGGAAAGTAAGTTTGTCACAATATATAAAAAAAACATTTATATTCCTAACGCTATAGAGTTCCTAAAAGCATAATATATTACACAATATGTGCTTTACTTCTTCTGTACCAAGAAGTTAGGATTGTCATTATGGCCTGAAAGGAGTAGTTCTTGAAGAATATTCCAACCAAAGGCAGAGTTTTAATAAAATATTGTTTTTGATTAGTAACTCTTGCTGCCATAGTGGTGTCATATCACCCCCACCCCTTAAAAGAAAGAAAGTCTTGTTATTGGTCGTCATTCTGGAAATGGACAGAATCTATGCATGGAACTGACATAAGCAGCCCAGATCTCTGGTTCCAGGCTGCTACTGGGGCTCCTGAAAGAGGAGTTACGCCTGCGGTAGGAAAGTTCTGCATGTTCAGTGCTTTTCAGAAAAAAGCTGCACATACAGATGAGTACAGGCAGCATGATTACTCCAAATCACTAAAATGGTCAGAGGACAAAAGAGCCAAGAAAGCGCATTGTGCATGTGTTTGAAGCCTGCTTGTGGATTTGTGTGTGTGTGTGTGTGTAGAGTGAGTTGATTGGGGTGTGGTATTGTGTGTGTGTTTAGGGGGCATAGGGTGTATAGGGAAGGTAGCAAGTGTGTGCATAGGGGCTTTAGTGTATGTGTGTATAGGTGATGTAGTATTTAGGGGTTGTAGAGACTGTGTGTGTTTAGGGAATGTAGTGTGTTTGTTTACATGGGATCTATTTTTTGTAAATAGGACATGCAGAGTGTGTATGCCAGGAATGTAGTGTGTGTTTAGGTGGTGCAATGTGCGTCTATAGGGGATCTACCGTGTGTGAAGTAGTGTTCATTTTGGCGGCAAATTTCAACTGAGTTTTAGTCATAGTCTTTTGACTAAAAAGCCATTTTAGTTTGTCGTATTTTAGTAATCTGAATTGTTTTAGTTTTAGTCTAGTTTTAGTCGACTAAATCTCAAAACTTGTAGTCAACAAGAATTGTTAGTCGACAAAATTAACACTGGTGTCTAGGGGATTTAGTGTGTGTTTGGAAGACCCAGAATGTGTAAATGAGATGATCTGTTGTGTGTGTGTGTGTCTGTGTAAAATGTAATGTGTGTAGGGGTGCAGTGTGAGTGTGTGTAGGGGTTACAATGGGAGTGAGGTGTTTGTGTGAGTGTGCATTAGCGGTGCAATGTGTTTGTAAGGGGTTATAATGTGTGTGAGTGATGGGTCCTGTGTGTGCATGTTTGTGTGTATGTGTAGGGTGCAGTGTGTGAGGTTTGCAATGTGTATGCTGTGTGTGTGCAAGAGGAGTGCAATGTGTGAGGGGTGCAGTGTGTGTGTGAGAGGGGTGTTGTGTGTATGCGTGAGAGGGGTGTGTGTCAGAGGTGTGCTGTGTGTGTGGCGGGTGTGAGGGGTGTGAGGGGATGCTGTGTATGTGTGTGTGTGTGTGTGTGTGTGTGTGAGGGGGATGTGCTGTGTGTGTTTGTGTGTGAGAGGGGTGATGTGTGAGACCGTTGCTGTGTGTGTCTGAATATTGGAAGTATGGTGTGTGTAGGAGGCAGACTAATGTAAATAGTAAATATGTATTATTTAGTGTTGTATCCTCCCTCCTTTCCTTTGTTTAGGGAGGGGAAAACTGCTTGTGAAGCCCTGGTGATCCTAGTGGGGAGTGAACGCTAGTCTGCACTTACTGGGGCTATAGTTCACTCTCGCGAGATCGGAGCATTGTCACGGTAACTATGGCAAGGCTTCGACCTCACAAGATTAAGGACCCAGTGGTGCTACAAGCTGGAGCTCTCGGGTTATCCCTCCCTACCTGGCTGCTTTATTTGACTGGTGAGGAAGATCTTTGTTTTTTGTCACTAAATTGCAAAACTGAGTCTGAAATAGCAAATTAGAAAATATTTCCCAACTCTGCTAAAGTCACTGTTTGGCTACTTTCAATTCAATACAATTAGATGTATAGTAGATAAGTATTAACTGCCCCAAAATGACTCTGTTATCCTTGTGTTTTATTTTTAGACCTAGACCAGTTAGGTGGCCTAGGTATCATGTCCCTATTGTTTTAACCCTGCAATTGAAGACATTCTGCAGAAGCTGTTCTACAGAAATGGCAGCCACTAGAGACACTTCCCCAGATGTAGCCTGGTGAAACTATGGCTAATGCATTGGATTGGCTGAGGTCATCAAGAGTTGATGATCTCCGCCAAGGAGGAAGAGTTTCCCCATGGAGCACCACTTAATATAAGATAAATGAATCTACCTTTTAAATCTTCACAGTGGGGGGAGGGCATCAATATATAGAGGAGCACTATAGCTTTACAAATATATATTTGTATTTGGAAAATGATAGTGTTCCTTTACATTTTCTAAATCTTTTAACGTGGGACGAAATTCCTTTCATGTGTTTTCGCGTCTGTTTAATTAATGTAACCATGAAGAATTTTAGTATAAACTAACCACCATGTGTAGAATGTTAAAATAATCTGATAACATTTCAGTTAGGTTAGGAGGCATACACCATTTACTTTTAACTATCAATTGATACGTGGTAAGAGGCGTTGCAATCAGTTTACACTACAGCCTGTTAACGGTTTGGGGCTGCATGATTCCACAATATTTGTTACAAGGTGTAATATATGAGTTGCAGGAGGTTGTTTTTTTTACTTCTTTATTTTTGATGTGCACATTAATAGTAAGGATGATATCACGGAAATGACAAGTCGGCAAAGAGAAAACATCCATCAGATTGTGTACATAAGAAACAACACGTTTCTTTTTTTTTTTTTTTTTTGGAAAGAAAACAAGTATCTTAATACAGCAAGAGATAGCTTCTTATGAGTATGAACACATGCTTAACTACTATAGGGAGTACAGACAACCTGAGTACAGTTCTATTTGAGTAAACAGAGTGACTGAGAGATAATGTAAGGTAGAACTGCAAATTGTATCAAGAGCTGAGTACCACTGGTTAAATAGAAAGAACTAAGAGATAACTTCATATGATCAAGTAGGGCACAACAATATAGCTAAACTACGCGGTTATAACTAATAGTATGCACAGTGAAATCAGCTAAACCATAAGTAATGGATCTTTCAGCCTATGTCCACGGAGGGAGTTCCAGTGTCTGCATTTGTCTGCCTCTCCAGATGGGCCCAAGCTTCCACACCTTCCAGCACATTCCTCCCGTGGATGTCTTCCTGGCCCTCAGTCAGAGCTCGCCTGTGTTCTTGGGCACCCGGGGAGGGGAGTTAGAAACCTCCGAACCAAGCAGGCTGTGTGGTGAGTGGAGACGCTGATCATCTTTCGGTCGGGGCAACTAGGAGCTGGTATGTTTGGCAAAGCACCGAGGTACATTCTTCCGTTGCGGCAGCCTCCTTCGGCTTCTCTTCCGCAGCACCGGTCTGGAGATATGCAGCGAGTATCCAAGCAGGTTACATGACGGCTCTGGGGATCTGTGATTCGGTCTGCAGGAGTGAAGTTAAGTTCCCTGGAAAAGCCTTTGCCCAAAACTCTGCACAATTACAGTCAAAAGCCAGAAGTCCACAGGTCTATGGCCATGGGTAATTGTGAGTAGGTGCATGTGGCGGTAGGCCCCAACTGGGTGGCCATCTTGACAGCTAGCCCTCTGTTCACCAATTCTCTGGCAGGATTGTGTTTTACTGATGTGGCCCGACAAATACTTCAGTGGGGACCGGGATATCTCCCCCCGGTACAAAAGGGGGGGAGGGGGACAGGGCTCCAAGCCTACCAGCTCCACTACAAGGCTGAGGATTGGCCATCTCCCCCTCCTTGAGCATGAACTCAAGCCACAGAGGAGCTCAACACGGATCGTGAACACAGGGTTCAGGAGGAGGAGGGTCAGGTATTTAGCAGGATGCTCCCCAAGGTCATAGACAGAATTTTGCCTGAAAAAGAAGCAGTTGCTTATACAAATAGGCTTAATAAGTAAGTTTCCCTGAGGAGCAGAAGCGCCCTGCAACTGTCACAGGCGGTATGTACAGTACCCAGAAATTCAAAGGGGCATACTAAGCATCAAAACCTCTACATCTTAAAGTACTGTCCCTGTACTCTGACAAATGTAAACTTTGCTATTTGTAAGATACACCCACTAGAAGCACTTTTCTTTTGCTTAAAAGGATACTATAGGCACCATAACAACTTTATCTTAATGAAGCAGTTTTGTTGTATAGATCATGCCCTTGTAGTCTCACTGCTTAATTATCTTTCATTAAGGAGTTAATTCACTTTGTTTACACGGTCCTAGTCACACCTTCCTGCATTTGACTTGCTGAGCCTTCCTAAACACTTCTGGTAAAGAGAAATCTAATGTTTAAACAACCTTTATTGCACATTATGTTTAATTTAGAATCTCCTGATCTGTTAATAGCTTGCTAGAGCCTGCAGAAGCCTCTTGTGTGTGATTCAATTTTACTGGGAGATAAAAACTTCTGAAGTAAGTTAACATCTTATTGAAAATAAAGCCATTTTATTTTTCTATGCATGCTTTGTGAGTCACAGTCAGGGAAGGTGTGGCTGGGGCTGTATGGACAGAAAAAAAAATGATTAACTCCTAGAATTGAGCAGTGAGATTGCATGAAGATGAGCTATACACCAAAACTGCATTATTAACCCCTTGGGGACTGAGGCGATTGTACAAGTTCTGATCAAAACAAAATGTAAATAAAACCTGGAATTTGACTATATGTCTGTTAAAGCATAATCCACCTTTTCATATTAAGTGCACCCACACTTAATATATGTAATTTTGTTCAGGAGAAACAGGGCTTTCATTCCACATCAAATATTTATATATGAAACATAATTTTATTTGAATAAAATCTAAAAATGTGTGAGAAATTTTATTTTTCATGTTCGGCATGACATTTTAACTGTGTTTTATGGTGTTTTGTAAAGTGACAAGATTATAAGGCTTACCTATTTTAGTTTTTACATATTGAAATTTGCCAGATTGGTTGTGTTGCCTTTGAGACCATATGGCCAGTGATTTATTTTGGTTTTGTGCTGCCCTAGGCTTGACTAAACCTGGGCACCCCCCAATCTACATTTGCCCCACCACTTCCTCTCAAGGCTGCACCTCTTCTTGATTAAGAACAAATCCCTTCCTCTTTAGACTCCACCTTTTCCTACTCCTTTTAAAAGGATACTACGCTGTTTTCCAGGCACTAAAGTTCCTTATAGTTAAAATCCCTTCAGTCACTTACCTGAATCCAGCACCGATGTCCCTCGGCACTGGGTTAGGCAAGAATTGTAATTCTTTCCTATGGGGATTAAGCAGGCACTGGATGTCCTGTCTGGTATCCAGCCACTAGAGGTGGTGTTAACTCCTAAAGGGAATTATTGCAGTTTCTGAGAAACTGCAATAATTACAGTTGCAGGATTAAGGGGACTGGGACACTGCACCCAGTTGAAGTGGCCTGGGTGCCTATGTGTCCCTTTTAAGCACACACTCTGACAGACACAGGCACACACTGGCAGGTACACACTGACAGTCACAAACACACTCAGTGACAAACACACAGGTGTCACTGACAGACACAGACTCACTGATTTGAAACGCACACATTCACTGACAGTCTCACACACACACACACACACGTCACTGACAGACACAGACACACTGATTTGACACACACACATTCACCAACACTGACAGAGACTCATTGACAGACCCACACTGATAGTCACACACACTGAATGACAAACAGACTCTCACTGATTTGACAGACACTCATAATCATACAGACACACACACTCATATATACTCACAGACACACACATACTCATACAGACACACACACACAAACACACACTCACAAACACACACTCACTCATACACAAAAACAAGTCCTGCGCTCAAATTCCCACTAGTCTTGGGCAGCAGCAACGACCTTAGTACACATCAGCCCCAATACACACAGTAAAAACCAAAGAAAAAGACAAATGGAGGTTATTTAGTCACTCCAATGGCCATGAGAGTGATGTCCACCTGCCACGTCATGGCAAACCTCTTAGGTGGGTCCTACACTGACTATTCACCTTGTTTCCTAAAGGTATTGCTATAAAATGTAATACATTTATAAATACCAAACATCTTCTAAAAAGAGAAACAGCATAGGAAAGTGATTTGGGTTCAAAAGATGGAGTGGCTAAGGCAGAGGTTTTGTAGAAGGGAGCCAGGGCAGGGGTTTTGTAGAAAGGGGACAGTTTTGTAGAAGGGGGGAGACCAGTGCTTTTGTAGAAAGGGGCTGGTGAAAAACTTCTAGAAAACTCCTGCCCTGCCCCTTTCTACAAAGCCCCTTGTCTCCCCCCTTCTAGAAAACCCCTGCCCTTCTCCCTTATGCAAAAACCTTGCACACCTATTCCAGAAAACTCCAGCACCCCTCCTACACATAAAAATTCATACCCCCCTTCATATGGAAACCCTTCACCCCCATCACATAAAGTTCATACACCTCCTACACATAAAAATGCTGCACCCCCTTACACATCAAATTCATACACCCACCCTACACATAAAAACCCAGAGGTGTAACTAGAAACCATGGGGCTCCGGTGCGAAAAGTGCCCTGGGCTCCCCCCATGCAACTACCTTCTACCCCACACATCCCCCCCCACCCCCCCACACATGCAGACAAACAGATACACATGCAGACACATATATACAGACACACACACATACACACAGAGACCCATACATACAGACATACATACAGATACATGTAGAGACACACACACATACACTCATATACACACACTCAGACATATACACATGTACACTCACAGACACACACACACACACACTCAGACACACATACACTTACACACACATACACTTGTGGACACACACACTCAGAGACACACACTCACATACGCACACTGAGACACACATACACTTACAGACACACACACACACAGACACACTCAGACACACATACACTTACAGACACACACACCTACACTCAGACATACACACTCACAGACAAACACATACACACACACACTCAGACATACACTTACAGACACATACACATTCAGACACACACATAAACTTACAGACACATACACATTCAGACACACACATACACAGATACACTTACAGACACACACAAATTATTAATATTAAATGTCCACCCAGCCTCCCTACCTGGAGAGCTGGCATGGATCTATTTCTGGGGTCCAGTTGGGCTTCAGTGCGGTGGGCGGCAGAGTTCCTGTCAGATGTGGCGAGGGAGCTGTGTTCGCTCTGCTCTGCTCCCTTGTGGGCTGTCTACTGATGCTGGGAGAAGGAATACGACGTCATATTCCGGCTCCCGGCATCAGCAAACAGCGCGCGAGGCAGCAGAGCAGAGAGAACACAGCTCCTTCGCTGTGTCTGACAGGAACTCTGCCGCCCGCCGGGGAGTCCATTAGGTGGCCAGCGGGCCCCCCTATAACAGGGCGGCATCTAGGCGGCCCACGGTCGCAGGGGTAAAAACAAAACCCTGCACACCCCCACTTAATTAACCCCTCCCTTTCACATAAAATTATCTGCTTACATTTGATGATGCCTCGCCCTGTGCGCTGACCTGACCTGCTCTGCTCCGAGCCTCCGACCACTGGTGCCTCACGAATGATGGATCCTTCCGCTCCTCCTGGATATCCGTGAAGGCAGACAGACGGCTGCAGCGCATGTCGGTGTCACGTTGCGCGACACTCCTCCCCCTTCCCTGAGTCATCCATATTACTGCAGTCAGACTCAGTGCAGTATAGTGCGACCGGGCCGGTCACAGATGCGTCCACAAAAGCGCTGCGGTGTGCACTGTAACAATTGATGGGGGGGGGTGACTCATGACACGGGCAGTCATGGCACCCCCCTAGAGAGTGAACGTGGAGTCCCCCCACCTGTATTGTATCCTTCCTGCGTGTGAGGATTGCAGGAGGGGTTTTAGTGTTCTGCGCCATGCGAGAGAGTTTCTGGTGAGGTCTGGAAAGAATTGTAGAGTAGTACCCTCAAAGTGTATTGGTGTTTTATCCCTGACTACCGCAAGAATGAGAGCTTTATCTTGAAGTGACTGGAACTGGATGATGAGGTCAGAGGCTGTTGTGGTCGGCGCTGTCGCCAGTTTCGGTATGTGGAACATGCCGTCCAAGTTAACCAACTTGGGCTGTAGCATCATTGCAAGTAGCCGTCAGATGAAATGTGGTAGATCAGTCAGGCCCACAGCTTCAGGTATGCCTCTGATTTTTACATTCTAGCATCTGCACATATTCTCTATGGCCTCAACTCTTTCAGAGGTGTGGAGCTGTTGCTGTTGCAGAGCTTCCAGTTTCTTCTCCACTGAGGTAAGCCTAGCGTCAGTGTTGGTGGTGTTCGTTTCCAGCTAGTTAAGTCTGTTTTTTGCTCCCTCAAGCGCGGTCTTGAAGCTGGCAATGTCATTGGTTATATTTACCCGCAGGAGAGCTGCAGTGACTGGGTCTTTGACCCCTTGGCCGTCTGTACCGATCTCAGCTCCATGTCTGTCAAGGCCCCTGCCCCTGTGTCCAGGAAGAAATCATTTGGGAAAAGGAGGATCCCTCCTCTCCCAGCGCCATATTGGCCTATGCAGAAGATCTCAGATGTCTCTGCTAGCAGGACCCTTATTGGCTTTCGCCTTTTTGGATTTGCGGCCTATAGTAACCTCGTAGTGTAGGTAAGGGTGTTCTGGCCAATCAATATTATTCACTTGTTATATATTCCAATAAATGGTATCACTTCTAGAACTTCCAAAATGTGATATATTGAGTAAAACACTCCAATTGTACAGTTCAGGTTTTGGTCCTACAGGGTTATTATCAAGATTGGAAGTCCTATGAGTGCTGCCATTTTTTGGAATATTATATGAGTGTGGGTAAGCACCAAGGCTGTTACTTAAGAGCTTTGTTTGAGGAGAGTGCTGTGTGTGTGTGTGTGTGTGTGTGTGTGTGTGTATATATATATATATATACAGTTGCAAGGAAGTATGTGAACCCTTTGGAATGATATTGTTTTCTGCACAAATTGGTCATAAAATGTGATCTGATCATCATCTAAGTCACAACAATAGACAATCACAGTCTGCTTAAACTAATAACACACAAATAATGAAATGTTGCCATGTTTTTATTGAACACACCATGTACACATTCACAGTGCAGGTGGAAAAAGTATGTGAACCCCTAGACTAATGACATCTCCAAGAGCTAATTGGAGTGAGATGTCAGCCAACTGGAGTCCAATCAATGAGATGAGATTGGAGGTGTTGGTTACAGCTGCCCTGCCCTATAAAAAAACACGCACCAGTTCTGGGTTTGCTTTTCACAAGAAGCATTGCCTGATGTGAATGATGCCTCACACAAAAGAACTCTCAGAAGACCTAGGATTAAGAATTGTTGACTTGCATAAAGCTGGAAAGGGTTATAAAAGTATCTCCAAAAGCCTTGCTGTTCATCAGTCCACGGTAAGACAAATTGTCTATAAATGGAGAAAGTTCAGCACTGCTGCTACTATCCCTAGGAGTGGCCATCCTGTAAAGATGACTGCAAGAGCACAGCGCAGACTGCTCAATGAGGTGAAGAAGAATCCTAGAGTGTCAGCTAAAGACTTATAAAAGTCATTGGCAAATGCTAACATCCCTGTTGGCGAATCTACAATACGTAAAACACTAAACAAGAATGGATTTCATGGGAGGATACCACAGAGGAAGCCACTGCTGTCCAAACAAAACATTACTGCACGTTTACAGTTTGCACAAGAGCACCTGGATGTTCCACAGCAGTACTGACAAAATATTCTGTGGACAGATGAAACCAAAGTTGAGTTGTTTGGAAGAAACACACAACACTATGTGTGGCGAAAAAAAGGCACAGCACACCAACATCAAAACCTCATCCCAACTGTGAAGTATGGTGGTGGGGGCATCATGGTTTGGGGCTGCTTTGCTGCGTCAGGGCCTGGACGGATTGCTATCATCGAATGAAAAATGAATTCCCAAGTTTCTCAAGACATTTTGCAGGAGAACTTAAGGCCATCTGTCTACCAGCTGAAGCTCAACAGAAGATGGGTGTTGCAACAGGACAATGAGCCAAAGCATAGAAGTAAATCAACAACAGTCCTGAACTCAACCCAATTGAGATGCTGTGGCATGACCTCAAGAAAGCGATTCACACCAGACATCCCAAGAATATTGCTGAACTGAAACAATTCTGTAAAGAGGAATGGTCAAGAATTACTCCTGACCGTTCTGCACGTCTGATCTGCAACTACAGGAAACGTTTGGTTGAAGTTATTGCTGCCAAAGGAGGTTCAACCAGTTATTAAATCCAAGGGTTCACATACTTTTTCCACCTGCACTGTGAATGTTTACATGGTGTGTTCAATAAAAACATGGCAACATTTCATTCTTTGTGTTATTAGTTTAAGCAGACTGTGATTGTCTATTGTGAATCCATATCATTCCAAAAGGTTCACATACTTTTTCTTGCAACTGTATGTATATATATATATATATATATATATATATATACACTTGAAAACAAGAGAAATCTCAATGTATCCTTCCTGGTAAAATATTTCATAAATAATTAATAAATATACATACAATATATATACAAACACACACATTTATTTTAAATACATGAAGACAGAGGGTCACATATGACAGGACTGTTTATTAATCACATTTAAAATATGATTACTCTATTATTCTGTTGGCTCTTCCGGTGGCACTCTCGCTTTTCCAGGTAAATTCCTCTCTCCCCACGCTCTCTCCACTCCCTCTTACTCAATCAGTGATTCAGGGGTCCGTCAAGACTTGCATCACTACCCTGCCAAGTATAAAAAGGCAGAGGAGAGATTGCTCCTGCAGTATTAAAGAGCTCAAGATTAAAACTCTAAAGTTAAGGAAACAGGCGAGAATCCAAAAAAAAAAAAAGGAAAAAAGAAACATACCATAAGAAGATACTGAAACAGCAAGAGTAACCACCCGTACCATGCACAGGCAGACACAGGTGAGTCAGTCTATTAGCCATTATATCACTCAATACTGTATCACTTTTTATCTGTCGTCTATTATCAATGCACAGTATCAGGTATAATCCATGCCTCTTTTATCTTAATTTTATTTACACGTAATAAATCAGCTTATTTCTCAATATTTAATTAAATAAGCAAGTAATCTGTTGTATGTACATTTTACCAATGTCTACAAACTATCATGATTGTACTTGTCTAGTCTTATGTTTTGTCTCCATACTTATATCTAAATTCCCATCTACATTGTTTCATTTGTTATATATCAAATGGATGGTAACTGTAACATGGAATGAGTGCTTGTCTGGATATATATTACATATATATATATATGTTTGTTTTTAAAAAATCTTTTTAAATCCTTTGCATTGTAATATTATTGTGTGTGTGTGTGTGTATATATATATATATATAAATTGTTCTTCCAGTTCTCTAATTATGAGTTATGTCTTGTATGTCTGTTTCACTCCCCATCTCTGTACTTATTATTACTAAATACCGTAGTTATAATGACAATGAACTATATATAATAAGTTATCAAAGTTGTGAACCCGGTCAGCTTTCTGCACTGTTTCTTTCCTGCAGCCCCCACACCACTAATCAGGAAGGTTTGTCTTTGACAGCAGTGAGTTTATCAGCTGACGCTTTAACATATTATCAATGCCCAAGCCAAACCCTCCTGATTAGTTTAATGATGAAGGGAAGGGGACAGGAGGAAATGCAGACAGGTTCTTGGGGACACATACAGGGGACACATACGGGTGTTAAGAAGGCACCCAGGGATTCCACATCCCTTACTAACTTAATCTCAATAAAGTTGTTATGGTGGTGACGTGTTCCTGAAGCAAAGTAACGTATTCCTCTTTAAGGACAAATTATATCTAGTTGTTTTTTATATAATGAATTCATAATTCATAAAAATAATATTTTTTTTCTGTTCCATCTCCTTTTTTGCTCCTCTCATTTCATCTCTTTTTTATTCATATTACCTTTTCTCTGTTTATTATTTTACTCGTATTCTCCTGAATACAATTCTCCTCCGTTTAGCTTTGTTGTCTCAGTTCTCTCCTGCTTTTTCTGCCTCTGTGTATGAATACTACAGGATCCATAGCTTTTCCCAATGATGAATACAAAACAGAGTCCTGGGATAACAACAGCACTCAGAGACATACAACTACTACTCCAAGATGGATAACCAATCAATCTTCTGGCCTCCTACTTACAAAAATCACAAAGAGACAATCAAGCACGTCAGATAACATTTTGTATATTACAGGTGGGATTGGGGATGATTATTATGATGATGAAGAGGTTCCACCTACTCTCCCTCCGCATATGCCTGTGAGTCCATGCCCATATGACCACTGCAAACACTTGGAACCCCCTTGCGAGGAGTCACAAAAAAGAGCAGAGAACAACTGTCTTTGTCCTGGAATACAAGGTCCAACAATTCGACCAGATGTTCCCAAGCTGAGGCAGATAGTTCCTGGGGACAGAGATGTGGCTGTAAGCTGGTGCTCTCCAATGTCCACCGTCCATGGATATAGGGTTCTGCATGGACCCCAAGAGGGTTTGCTAGAGAGAGGACCAGTACTTAATACTTCACACAGATTTTATTCCATAGCTAAACTTCTCCCAGGAACAGCCTACAAAGTGTGTGTGGTGGCATTTAACAGAGTAGGTGAAAGCCCTGTAGATACAGAAGATGAACATTTTGAACAGGACTCCAATACATCTGGCCCATGCAGGATCATCAATACTACATCCAAGTATTTATATATTTACATAGGGCTGGGACTGACTGTCCTGGCAGTCTTAATGGTGTTGGCCATTATTGGGTACTGCATGTGCAAAAGGAGAAGAGGCAGTAAAACCGTTGAATGGAATGAAGCAGATTATCCATACTAGCTGTATAAGGGTGCAAATGTGGATCAGTTGAAAATACCCACCATGCACAAAGTATTCTTCATGTATATCGTCATTAACTGCTACAGTGATGATTTAATGGAAATATTTAATTAAAATAATGAGTCATTTTTTATGAATATATATATATTTATTTTATTTAAACATTGAAATTTACTACTGAGTGACACACAACATATTCCAAGGAAATGTTTTAGAAAAAAAGCTGCCTTTAACACAGCAGCTCAGAAAAAAACGATTTCCATAATTCCCCCAGAATTCCAAGTTGAATATGCAAATGAGCATAGACGAGAATGCCCTTTCTTTTCATCCTACTCTCCTGCATGTCATTTCAGATTGCCATTGCATTTAGGAGACTGCAAAAAAGTAGGATCGAATCTAAAAAAATAGGTTTAACTTGCATACTCCGCATTGTGTTCTATAAAGGCATAGATGTGCCTGAGGGCATCCTAATGCTGGACTGCTTTGTCCTTCTTGTCCCCTATTTAGGTCCCTCACTGCACCTTTAAATCAATTTATTTTTCGTTGTTTGTTATCTTGTTGAACATAAAATTAATGAGCATTGGCTGGTGGTCACTGAGAAAAATACTGATATTTTAAGCCTAATCTTGAACTTTGTATTTGTAAATTTAAATTTGGCTAGTAAATGTAAAGGTACACTCCACATACATTCAGCTTAGTGAAGTGCTTTATGTGTCTGGAGTCTGTCTCTTTTGCGACAGTTTACAAAAGTGCCAGAACTTCCTCACTGACTGTCACTTAGATAGCTAAATAGCTAAAGAGCATGCCTACTTTCTCCCTTCTCAGCGAGCTGTACTACAACATGATCCCAGCTCCTCAGTTTAGTATATGTACCAGCACAGACTGAGAGCCATTGCTTGGGAAAGAGGGGAGCGCTTGCAAATGATGCAGACAACGGGTCTGAAGCTTTTCCAAGCTGTGTTTCATACAATCCCCAAGAAAAGAAGGCAGACAGACAAAAGTACATGAATATTTTATTTGTGGGTTTGTACTAATAACTAATGTTCCTAATTGTTAAATAAAAATTTTATATATTTTCAACGGAGTGAAATAAATAAATGTAAATGTCTTATGAGAAGACCTATTTTTTTGCCAGTATTTATTCATGTCAATCACTTTTTTATTGAGGCAATCTCATGTCAATCAAAGCAGACAATTCAATATATGTCAAGGATCAGTAGTATTTGGCAAATATGCATAAAGATATTATAAAATGAGTGCCTCATTTTATAATAGAAATAAAATGAAAAAATAATAATGTGATTGAGACCATCTTGTGTCAAACAATATGTAATCGTATTTAGGCACTCTACTTAGATGTGCTAGTAACACACATCTGTATTTCAAATAATAGGGTTTATAATACCATACCTCCCAAGTGTCTCTATTAAGTAAGGACAGTCCCTATTTTGGCCCCAAATCTCTCTGTACATCTTTTCTATCCTAATCCCCCTCTTTTCTGAGAGCTTCATATTGTTGGTGTGTCTGAGATAATAACTGCCCCCTCCTGGAGTGTTCTGCTCCACAGCAATAATACTCACAGTAATGTGTCTATAACCACATGAAATGTGTTGAGAAATCAGTCTGTGAAAATAAAATACCTTGTTCTAAATTTCATTTTTGTTACATAAATTGTTCTTAGGAAGTGACCTAAAATGTCTCAGGACAACCCTGCCCCTGGCCACACCCCTTTTACGCCCCAAAGTGAAATTGTCCCTCTCTATCCATTTGAAATGTTGGGTGGTACGCATCATTATTTTCTTTCAGTTAGTATAGGCATTGTATGCTTTCAGGGTTATTCAGTAAACGCTGGATTAGAACGGAATGCAATCTGAATGGCCCGTTGGAGGATAAAATAAAAAAGATATGACTACAATTGAGTTGGATAATTTTTGAAATGACAGTGAATTGAGCAGTGAAATTGCAGGGGAATGATCTATACACTAAAACTGCTTTATTTAACTAAAGTAATTTAGGTGACTATAGTGTTCCTTTAATTATAATTCAATTCAGTTTAGTGAATAACTTTAGACTCTGTGAACATTTTGGAATTCAAAATGAATTTCACCTTTTATGTCTATCCAGCTATGTTTCCAGTTCAGATATTTTGGCATAAAATTTTAACTTCAGTTGAATTTCTGACTCTGCACATTTTAGTGCAAGTAAGTGTGTTCACTTAGTGAACCACTAATAAAAGCTTAGCCAAGATCCATTCCAAAGTCAAACTCAAAAACCATAGAATTAACACTAATACAATGCATTCTCTGGTAACAGGAGCCCAGGACAGGTCAATAACTGATTTGTTTTGTAAGCTTAGCTTATAGTAAAGTATCAATTGTTGGCACCAAAGAGCATGGAACAGTCTGCATGACATTAGAATGATGAAAAAAAAAATATAGGATTGGGGGAACACCGAGAAGATGAATTTCTCAGCTAGGTGCTGCTGTAAAGACCAAAAAATATAGAAAATACAGATTAAGGAACAGCACACACAATAAAAATACAATTTTATATTTTACAAGGGCATTTAAAATCCCTTAGCTTAGCAAACAAATATGGGGATTTGGTTACAGCATATGGCCATACTATAGAGACACTACAGACACCCAGACCACTTCAGCTCATTGAAGTGGTCTGGGTGCAGGGTCCCAGGTACCTTAACCCTGCAAAGGTAATTATTGCAGTTTTAATAAACTACAATAATTACCTTTAAGGGTTAACTCCACCACTAGTGGCTGTCTAGTAAACAGCCACTAGAGGGTCTTCCAGGTCGTTAGGCAACTTTGGGTTGCCTACCTGACGCTGGACGTCCTCATGCTATGCGATATACAGGCTTTCCAATTGGGGAAGTACTAACACGAGCCACGCATGTGCTTTAGGTCCGCCCCCCCCGGCTCGCTGATGTCAGAGAGAGAGGAGCGGAGGCGAAGCCTGAACCAGGGGCGAGGGACATTGGCGCTGGTATCAGATAAATGACAGAATGGGTTTTTAATGGTGGGGGTCGGAGAGGGGCCGAGACAGAGGGTAGCTCTATAGAGAACTATAGTCCCAGGAAAACAAAACTACAGTTTTCCTTTAAGCCCACCACTAAATCACACTACCCCAACATTTGTGGGTCCTAAGCTAATTTAACATGGGCGATAAACATGCTAACTGCAATCCTTACTGCTTAAAGGACCACTATAGTGCCAGGAAAACATACTCGTTTTCCTGGCACTATAGTGCCCTGAGGGTGCCCCCACCCTCAGGGTCCCCCTCCTGCCGGGCTCTGGGGAGAGGAAAGGGGTTAAAACTCACCTTTCTCCAGTGCCGGGCGGGGAGCTCTCCGCCTCCGATCCTCCTCCTCTCTTCCCTTTCGGTTGAATGCGCACGCGCGGCAAGAGCTGTGCGCGCATTCAGCCAGACTCATAGGAAAGCATTTACAATGCGTGTTCTCACTATGATTTTCACAGTGACAATTATGCAAGCGCCTCTAGCGGCTGTCAATGAGACAGCCACTAGAGGATTTGAGGGCTGGATTAACCCATTTATAAACATAGCAGTCTCTCTGAAACTGCTATGTTTATAAAAAAAAAATGGGTTAACCCTAGCTGGACCTGGCACCCAGACCACTTCATTAAGCTGAAGTGGTCTGGGTGCCTAGAGCGGTCCTTTAAGCAGCTTTCAAAGACTCCTTAAAATGTATGCTTTCCTGTGGTTACCTCCAAAGGGGCACATTGAGCAGAGGGGTGGGGTGCTCAATGAGTGGAACGTAAGGTACAGAATTGGAGCAGTAACAGTGGAACACCAGGTACAGAATTGGATCAGTAACACTGACATGTCAGTGCAAAACTGGAGGAGTAACACACGCATGTTGGTGCAGAACTGGAGAAGAGGTGGCAAGTAATGAGACATAAATTACGTTGTGTTGCAGTCAAAGTGAGAGCTACCCGCACTTTCATGTCTGTGATATTAGCAGATACTTTACTAGTGAGAAGTAGACGAGTGAGGTCAGAAAAGTTCACTAATTGGGTACAATTCAGTTCCCCATAGCCTTATCACACACTGAAGAGAGTGAACTGCTCTGGACTCCACATGAACCCCTGAATTAATCGTGTCTGATCTGGCAGGGAGTGTAATCTCAGCCAGACATAATATGATTCAGCAGAAGAGATGGATACGTATCTTCTTATGTTGTGCTCACTGAAAGCTCTGTAGTATGTACACTGGGGAGTCCTACTGCTCATATCAGCAGTTACTTCATCTCGGGAAATTTTTATGCTGACGGCAGAGGGTTATCTTGGCCTAAAGTTTCTTTTGTTAGGAGTGGCCTAAATTATTTATGTTAGCGGTAGCTCAGAGTTATATTAGGGTTAGAAGAGGAAGAGTCCAGAGGTCATGTGGACCAGTAGTAGAATTATTTTGTCACGCATGAAGTCCATAGCTACTTTGACAATGTAATGTAAATTCTGCTTCTCATTAGGCCTATCAAAATTTTAATCTCCAGGTCTATGAATCCCTAAATCCAAAAATCGATGAAGGGTAAATCAGTCTGCTTTATTCAGGAAAAAAGGTACAGGTATTTATACAAGGACCCCCAGCATTGGGTCTATCTATTCATTCAGTCCTAAGCCCGCTCAGATGTCTCTGTGTTTGGGAGATAATTGAGTTGAAGACCGGTAAACTGATTATCTCCCGGACACAGAAGAGGCTATACACAGATACCCCAAAAACAACATAGTACCAACACAAGTCATATATCCCCTGAAAGAGGGGATCCGAGCCCCCATTCTGTGAAAATAGCGCTGAGCTCCGTGGGGAATTGTCCAAACATCACTCAAGTAAACTTTTAGACCGACTGCTGTTAAAGTCCTTCCCGAAAATAGTTTCAGGCGGTCGCGGTCTTTTACCGGGGCTCTAGCGGACTGAAAAAGGTGGGCTCCCTCCATCTCACAGGGAGAGATTGTTCAGGAGGAGGGGGTAACAACCTTCAAAGAGTGTCTTCCTAGCTCATTGGGAAAAGGGTTGTCACGTCCTGTTCCTACGTATAGTGGATCATTTCTGGTTATGGCTTCTGGTATCCAGTACTCTTTTTACAATTCTTGTTTAGTTTTTCTTGGTTTTTCTGGTTCTCCATTCCATGCTTGGTTTTCTTTATGCTGGGTTTTCTGGGTTCGTTCCTTTATTCTGTTCCTGGAATTCCCAGTCTCCTGGATTCCTTTATATGTTTGTTTTATGTTGCCACACCCGTTCCTTTCCCATTAATCCTTTCAGCCAAATTTACTAATACTAAGTAAAGATTACTTTGTATTAGTAAAGTATGCCCCTACTCGCTATACCGCGAGTAGAGGCATGTCTATTAAACAGTGAGCAGCCTGTGGAGGGTGGGGGCCCTAAATTAGAATAAGGGGGGGGACCTAATGTCCTCCCCACAGCACCCACCCCTGAGCGGTGGGTGGGGGCCCTAAATTAGAATAAGGGGGGGACCTAATGTCCTCCCCCCTGGTCCCCACCCCTGAGTGGTGGGTGGGGGCCCTAAATACTAATAAAGGGGGGGACCTAATGTTCTCCCCCCTTGTCCCCACCCCTGAACGGTGGGTGGGAGCCCTAAATACCAATAAGGGGGGGACCTTTTGTCCTCCCCCCTGGCCCCCACCCCCTACCTACCCCCCTCACCCTAAAAATAATACAGTAGCTCAGATCCAGAATGTCAGACAGGGGGGAATTCGCTACAGTGCACAATGATCTAGCTAGCCACGTGGAGGATATAGAACAAAAACTCCCTATCATGCAACCTAAACTCATGGACAACGAAGACTGAGCCCACAGAAACAATCTGAGGCTTCGGGGGGTTCCTGAGAGCATTCAATCTGCCGACTTACCTGCGTACACGAGAAGCCTGCTCCACGCATATGCTCCAGAAATTCCTGCAGACATGTTGCTGGTAGATAGAATACACCATGTCCCGAGACCCAAACACTTGCACGAGACGTACTCCTCAGGGGGCACTATTACCATATAAAAGAATACATCCCAGCCACCAGAATAATATTCCACAGTCAAAATCTTTGTTGACTTATTAGCGGCTACGTTCAGCAAGAGGAAGGCCTTCGCACCAATATTGGAAATACTGCGTAGCCATGGCATCAGATACAGGTGGGGATACTCCACGAATGTGTTGGTGATCAAGGACGACGGTATAAAAGTCTTCCAGACCCCAGAAGGATGAAGAAGACTCCAGGTGTGGAATCTGCCTACCTAATGTGTGGAGGACGACGGGGCATCGAAAGTAAAGTTGCCACTGGAATGGAGAAGTAGTGCAGAGACACTGAGAGTTCCCAGAAACTAAAAGACTTGGTTAACATATTGCAAGTATACCTTGCACAATATCTGTGTTATGTCAGACTGAGTGTCTGTTACAGTTAATGCAACCGGTTAGTTAGTCAGTGTTAGAATAATGCAGGCCCATTTAACCATATCACAGGTTACATGGTAAGATGGCTGAGACCCCGGGCAAGCAGCCCACTGCTGCTCATTTATATAGTTTAAAACTCTGCGGACAAGCCCAAGAGGCAGCACAATATTGGGATCCCCATAATACACGTCATGAACATTCCCACAGCAGGATGAGTGGCTCAGCATACACCCTCAGGGCATTCTTCTACCCCTTTTCTCCTGCTGCCTCAACACTCACAGGGCCAACAGATGGGATGTCCGGGCTACTCGCCCCATTAAAAAGAGAAGACCCTGGGACCCATGGAAGACACACAGGGCTAGCAGGCAAGCACACAAGACACGGTATTTGACCCCAACGGGGCAGGGTAAATATGAGCGATTTAAATGGAGCCCAAGAGAAATGGGATTATTTAAAAGTTGCACTATTGAAGGCAACAGAAAATTGATTTAGGCTTGTCAGTAAAAGCAAAAAATTCAAGAAACCACTGTGGTACTCCACAGATGTGGCCAAAATAGTTAAAAACTAAAAGTTAGCATTTAGGAATTATAAAAAAACCCAGAGTGGATTTCAAGATCAGAGACAACATGGGTTTACTTCAGGGAGATCATGCCAAACTAATCTTATTGATTTTTTTGATTGGGTAACTAAAATTATAGATCAGGGTGGTGCAGTAGACATTCCTTACCTAGATTTCAGTAAGGCTTTTGACACTGTTGCACATAGAAGGCTTATCAATAAACTGCAATCTTTAAGTTGGATTCCAATATTGTTGAATGGGTAAGGCAGTGGCTGAGTGACAGGCAACAGAGGGTTGTAGTTAATGGAATATATTCGAAGCTTGGACTTGTCACCAGTGGGGTACCTCAGGGATCTGTACTTGGACCCATTCTCTTTAATATTTTTATTAGTGATATTGCAGAAGGTCTTGATGGTAAGGTATGTCTTTTGGCTGATGATACTAAGATATGTAACAGGGTTGATGTTCCAGGAGGGATAAGCCAAATGGCAAATGATTTAGGTAAACTAGAAAAATGGTCAGAATTGTGGCAACTGACATTTAATGTGGATAAGTGCAAGATAATGCATCTTGGACGTAAAAACCCAAGGGCAGAGTACAGAATATTTGATAGAGTCCTAACCTCAACATATGAGGAAAGGGATTTAGGGGTGATTATTTCTGATGACTTAAAGGTAGGCAGACAATGTAATAGAGCAGCAGGAAATGCTAGCAGAATGCTTGGTTGTATAGGAGAGGTATTAGCAGTAGAAAGAGGGAAGTGCTCATGCCATTGTACAGAACACTGGTGAGACCTCACTTGGAGTATTGTACACAGTACTGGAGACCGTATCTTCAGTAGGATATTGATACCTTAGAGAGGGTTCAGAGAAGGGCTACTAAACTGGTTCATGGATTGCGGGATAAAACTTACCAGGAAAGGTTAAAGGATCTTAACATGTATAGTTTGGAGGAAAGATGAGACAGGGGGGATATGATAGAAACATTTAAATATATAAAGGGAATCAACACAGTAAAGGAGGAGACTATATTTAAAAGAAGAAAACTACCACAACAAGAGGACATAGTCTTAAATTAGAGGGACAAAGGTTTAAAAATAATATCAGGAAGTATTACTTTACTGAGAGGTAGTGGATGCATGGAATAGCCTTCCAGCTGAAGTGGTAGAGGTTAACACAGTAAAGGAGTTTAAGCATGCGTGGGATAGGCATAAGGCTATCCTAACTATAAGATAAGGCCAGGGACTAATGAAGGTATTTAGAAAATTGGTCAGACTAGATGGACCGAATGGTTCTTATCTGCCGTCACATTCTATGTTTCTATGTTTGTTTCTATGTTTCTAAGTGCCGACCCCTGCTACTGGGGGGCAGCCAACCCTCACTCAGAGCAACAAACACACTATACCCATGAAATACTAAGATAAATGTGTTGTCTTAATGTACCAACCAAAACAAAACAAGAAAAAAGGGGGTGGGGGGTTAAAGTGGGACACAAGTCCTAAGAGTCAGGCGGGAAATCTGGTCATATCTTGAGATAAGAGGTGTATATGTAAGCTAGCACTGTTAAAGGTATGGGCACTGCTAAATGTTATGTTTCCGGTTTTGTTAAATATGGGTATGGTGAAACTCTAATGCACACTGTTATAGCTAGGTTCTGTTTATTTTTATGGACAATTAATTGAACTCATTAGCCACCAATATGGAGGTCAGTTACCTCCATCCCCCACGCACCCACACAGGGTGCCTTCATCTCACTGTGGCAGGACACCCTGAACACAGCACCTGTATATACTTTATTTTCCTTCTATTCTACTATGGCCTTGTTCTGGCTGCTCCCAAGACCCAATTCCACCATCCCCTTGAGACAAGGGAGACGCACCCTATACCCAAGACAGGGTATCAAGCTCTCTGGGTACAGAACACCATTAGAATGCTGTTGAGAGGCGATCTGCACTGCTCGTTGCAGCTGGGACTTGCAGCGCCCTCACTTAGATTCCAAATCCTATTACAAGATCTCATAACCGCAACAGGGTTTAGACCCCCATGAAGATATACTCACACAATGTTAGGGATTTAAACTCCCCAGTTAAACGGCACCTTTTAGGCAGAGAACTTGGCTCACAAAAAGCAGATATTATCTGCTTGCAGGAGACTCATTTCAAATCAAAAGCACACCCAAAATTCCTAAGTAGGGAATTCCCTCACCAATTTCACACTACTTCCTCAACAAAGACGAAGGGAACATGTATATTGAACAGCAGGCATGTGGCGTTCTCACCCAACTCCCATATATTGGACATGGGAACATTCAATGGGATCCAATACACCATAGTCAATATATATGCACCTAACACTGAACAAAGAAACTTCCTACACAAAATTCTCACTAAATTAGCAGAGAAACAACAGGGCATCACTATCGTATGTGGAGACATCAACCACGTCCTTGATCCGACTCTAGACACCATACTCACTGTACATAGCTCTAGACTCAGATCTTTGAAAAGGCAATGCAAACCAATCTAAAAATTGTTGTGCGCACACACCATATGTATGACGCGTGGAGACTATTTCACAACAGCGAGAAATGTTTTATGTTTTACTCTTCTGTTCATAATTCTTTTACAAGAATAGACAGCTTCCTAACATTGGGACAGGCATTAGATCAAGTTAGACGTTGCAAAATTGGTGGGATTGTAACGGTACCCCCAGGCATAAAAGGGATTAAACCGCCGTTTAGAAGATCTTCCCCTTCCAGAGACACAGGCACAACTACTGCAAAACCCTAAACTCCCGAACAGGATACAAAGTAGCACTCCAAACTCCCGGACTGGAACCTCACGAATAGCTGCTAGCAGCTGAACAGGAAAAGCACCCAAGCGGCTTACACTCCTGGCAATCAGTCTCTAACAGCATACAGTAAATCCCCCCAAGAATGAGACAAAGCTCCGTGTTGAGGGTCATGCAGTGAACAGACAGAGCTGTGGGTTTATTGTTCTTATATACACATTCTTACACGTTAGTACCACCTACAGGGTTTTGTAAAACAACCAATAAACACGTACAATACACTCAGACACTCCCACACAAAATTCTCCCCTATGCCTGTGATACAATTACCTTACACAATGGGTTAATGTAATTATCACAGGCAGAGAAATACAGTTTTTCCACATTATTCATAACTTTAAAAGTATACATCACATTCACATTTTCAGAATCAGCATACTCCAAATCAAACATATGTCATAATCATCCAAATTGGTCCAGTGGTTCAAAAGATAGATCGAAGTCCTTTGTGACCAAATAAAGCATGGCTTTTCTGCCCAAAAACAGTTCTACAGAGTCTTCTATCCTGGAGATAATTGGGAAGTAATCCAATTATCTCCAAGGACAGAGGCAAAACTCCATTGAACACATGGTAGCAAAAGACAATAAAATACATAAAAATATATAACTGTGCAGCTATTGCATAAAACAGGTATATTCCCAGATAGCTTAGATCTGAGCACACATTATTACTGAATGGCGCTCAGATCACATACATACAGTTCAATTGCCATGGAGCCAAAGTCTTTCACATAGTCTTTCGTTATATGAATGGGCTCCATGGCATAGCTATCTGGGGTATCACTGTTCAAATAGGACAAGGACCGAATGACCCAACTTTCGTGTCTTTGCAGGGGAAGATCAAGATGGGGCCATAGTCTAAAGGCAGCAGGCGGGCAACCAGGCTCCTCCAATGCACAGTGGCGAGATTGGTCTCGTCACAGGGATATCCTGGTCAGACCATGCGCCAGGGACCCTAACGCTCAAAGATGTTTACAATCTCACAAATCCAAAAAATAACCAGACTAATTCATCAACAGGCACTAGAGAAAACCGGGTACAAGCTACACAGACTTAAAGCATCACACTACTCGCAGGGCAACAAAGTGGGCAAATTGTTAGCCACCGGGCTACGAAGTCAACAAGCTAACCAAAAAATCACATACCTGGTATCCCAAAAAGGCAAGAT